ATTTCTGCCTGGCTCACAAGGTCTTCTGTCATTTGTCCTTCTACCTTTTCAGTGCTGTTCTTCATGACTCCCTAACACAATCTCTGAACTATTCTGCTTATGTTCCCTGTACATGCCACAGGTATTCTCCGTTGCGAGTGTTTATTTACAGACTTAGTGGCAAAAAATACCCTTAAACACATAACTGTTTCCCTTCCTGTAGCATTTAGTTTTATCCAAGAGAAACTACATAGGATTTTGGCGACTGAAATGTGTTATTTTTTATTGGCATATTTAAAGACTATTGATTCTCTGTGTAAATAAGTAAGTGGCATGCTTATGCTGCAGGTACATTTTTCAAAGAACATGTTGGACAGTCTTTTCTAATGTTTTCAGAAAATTTGAAAGTAATTGGTGGGTGAAAAATAATCACTAGAATGCTTGTTAGAATACAGATTCTAGGGCAGCCCCCGTAGCTCAGCGGTTTACCGCCGCCTTCAGTCCAGGGCGTGATCCTGGAGACTTGGGATTGAGTCCCATGTCAGGCTCCCTGCATGGAGCCTGCTTCCCCCTTTGCCTGTGTCTCTGCCTCTCTCTCTGTGTGTGTCTCTCATGAATAAATAAATGAAATCTTTTTTTAAAACAAAGAATACAGATTCTAGGACCCTATATCTGTCATATATATAGAAATGTACAATTTTTAAAGCACTCTAAATGATTCTGATATACAACCAGATTGGGAAACACTAGCCTGAACCCTTTGTTTTCCCTGAATTCTTGTCATTTTTTTTTTAATTTTTCTCTTGCCTTTGATTTTCCTTTTTAGTTCTTGTCTACTACCTGTACTTCTGCACTTCTACTTCCTTTCTATCCCTGATTTTGGAAGGCTAACCTGATAAGTCACTTTTCCTACTGCTTTATTTAGTTTGACTTTGCTGTGAGAATCTGTTTTTCTCTTAGACTTTTTTTTTTTTTTTGATAGTCACACACACAGAGAGAGAGAGAGAGGCAGAGACACAGGCAGAGGGAGAAGCAGGCTCCATGCACTGGGAGCCCGATGTGGGATCCGATCCTGGGTCTCCAGGATCGTGCCCTGGGCCAAAGGCAGGCGCCAAACCGCTGCGCCACCCAGGGATCCCTTCTCTTAGACTTATGTGTATGATTAAATTATGGGTGACCAAAGCCTTTGTTTTCCTGTCATTATCATGAAAGATTTAGTGGCTCATCTCATTTTATGTTACAGAAGTCAGAAATGGTACTATATTTTACATTTTGTTTAGAAAAATGTGCATTTCCCATTTCACTTAGGTTATTTTCTTGTTTGAGGGACATGGTTTGCAAAAGTTGGAATGAATGGGCCTCATAGTTTGAGTCAAAAGAGATTAAGCATATCTGAATAATAATAACCAGGGCATTCATACTAAGGCATAGTATATAGTCATTTAAAAGAACCAGTACAAATATGACAAGATTGTTGCAGAAGGCTATTTATAATAGCTGTCTAGTAGTCTAGTATAGCTGAGTGAAAAAGATTGTACAGCAGTAAATATAAAATGAGCTCGTCTCTGCCTCTCTCTGTGTGTGTATCTCTCATGAATAAATAAAATCTTTATATATAATTTCTTTAACTCTAGAACATCTTCTAAAAATAAGAAAAAGAAAAGCACTAGGAATTTAGAGTGCTTATTTCATATTAAGAACAAAAGAGAGCAAGAGAGGCTTTAGCTGGTGTATTGGAGACAGCATCAGCTTCCACCCAGCACAGTAACTGATGCACTCAGGTGACTCAGCTTTTGCTTCCCTTGGGTTGTTTGGTCCGCAGTTTGCATTCATTGATCAGTGAGTTGATTCAGACTCAAACCCACCGACAGCAATGAATGTTGAGTGCAGCCATCAGTGTTTCCATCTTGGCCCTCCTGAATTCCTGGCTCTTCTTTCCACATGGGTTCTTTGAGGTCTGGGTCTGGTATGTCTCTTGGTAACCAATGATTGAGGGTCCACATAATGATAGCTAACATTGATACTGGAGCTGAGAGAGTCTTTAAGACAAGAAACTATGGTTCAGAGAATGGAAGGAACTTGTGGAGAAGCTAATAGAAAGCTCTGTGACCACACAGGCAGTTCTTGCATACCTGGTAGATGTAAACAAGAGTCAAGGGTCCTGACTCTTTCTCTCTGTTTTGGACTGAGAAATATGAGTGCTTTTCTAGGTAAATTAGCACAGGATATGTTTTGGGTTAAATAATAATAGTAGTTATGTATACTGAATATTTGCCGTGTGCTCAGAATGGTGCAGAGCACTTTATGTATTAATCTCATTGAATATCAAAACTCCATGAGGTTAAGTGTTCTTATTATCTCCCATTTTATACATGAAAAAAATGGAAACTCAGGTACTTGCCTGTAGTCACATAGCTAGTTAAGGAGTTGAACCAAGATTCTTCCCAGATATCTGACTCCAGACCTGACTTTTTCTTGAATTTAACAAATATTTGAATAAGCATATGTGTGGATAGAAATAGGCAATAGTTGCTTTCAAACAGCTCGTATTCTAATAGGGTTGTCAAAACTTAACCATATTAACTGTAATTGGAGGTAGATTGTGATAAGGGCTAGACGTTAGATAGTTGTATGCTACTTTGCTTATTAAATCCTTCTCTTGCCCTTAATTAAAGTTTTGAGGGGATGTGGGAGAAATGGGTGTAAAATACTTAATTGGATTTTGCTCAAGATCAATATATATTTTTAATCTTTCTCCTTGCTATATCCTATTTCTCACCAGAGTTGCATATTTCTAGGAGACATTTTTAAGTACATTAAGTATTATAGTGGAGTTCTCCTTATCTTGTTAAAACGAAACGCTTATTTGTTAAGAACACAACAAAAAGGAAGGAACGATGGGCAATAGAAATAGGGCGAGCTCTTAAAAAATTCACTGGACCACCTTTGGGGGATAGGCAGCAGGACTGGTTCTGGTGATCCTGTGTGACATATGAAGGTACAGCCTGCTCCTTTGCTTCAGGAAATGTAGTGTTGTTTGTAAGGACCCCAAGGTACAGTCAACGGTCGGTGGTTTTTTCAAATCCCAAACTCACCGACAGCGTTGAATGTTCCTTGGAGTCCTCTGAAGGCTGGGTTCTGGCCGTGGCAGCCCTTCTTCAGCCTGTACCCATGTTCCAGGAGCCAATGAGCAGTGAAACCACTGCTTATAGAGGCACTCATACTCTTTTCCAGGTTTCAACTTGAGAGTATTTAGATTATGAAATCAATTTGTGTACAGCAGAGAGCCAATGAACTTAATGAACTTGCGAGACTGTAGTTATTTATACAAGCAGTCTCCAATGGATGGCTGAGAAAATGGCTTTGAGTGGTATTATTTTTTAATTCTGAAAATGTCAAGTGCCTCATTTTATAGTAGGTTCATTATTAAAGGACATGGATAAGAAAGAAATTAACACATATTGTGGACTCTATTATGTGCTGAGATTTGTGTATTTTTATCTCATGAAACTCAAAACAACCCATTTGTACTTCATGAAAAAACTGAGTCTTAGATTAAATGATTTGCGCAGTTACATAGCCAGGAGTCACAGTTATAAGCCAGAACTTGAATACTGGACTTTATGAATGTGCAGCTAACTGATCATATCACCTCTTCCTTGTTCACCACAAAACTTATTGTTCTATATCTGAGAGTAGCATCTTCAGTGAGAGCTATATTGAACGAGTAAACTCTTTCTCCTTGTTTGCCTGTATGAAGAGTAGGTGGGTCTGTAGGTGAAATATTTCATAAAGAAGATGAAAAAATTGACCTTCGTAATTGGTAATCTCTCTGGCTGAGATCCTGGATCACTAAGTTACCACAGAGATTTAGTGGTAGTCTACAAGTTATTTTCCATATTGAAAAAACAAAAACAAAAACCCCATCACCTAGTAGAAAGCCTCTATTTCTCCTCTGTACGGTCACAGTAACTAAAATGTCAAGTGTCTTTGCCTTTGGTATAAAGAGTATTGGTACATTATAGACATGCCATGAGGGTTATTTTTTATTGGCTACTGAAGGTCCTTGATTAAAAATCTGGAAAATGAATTAATTATATGAATAGAGATGGAGGGTTTCAGAACGTAGGATTTTATTATGGGAGGGATTGAGGAGTGAGTGCTCAGTTGAAGAAAGGCTTGCAGAACTCCTGGCTGAATTAAGGTTAATCTTTAATCAGGGATAGTTATTGTCATTTGCTTTGAGTTTAAATATTAAAGGTTGACTCTCTTCAAATTCATTTTCAAAGGAGCCAAATGGTACACATTTAAAAAAAAAATCAGGCTCTGAAAATTTGGTTTGAATGTAAACTGTTTACATTCTATGTCAATTTAATTATTTCACCCTCTGTCACAACACTCCAGCTAGCCAGCTTTATTGAGTTCTCAGTGTTATGACAGTGAATTGTATACAAATGACAACAAAAAAATCAAACAACTGTTACTGTGTAGTAGTTTAAAAACTCTTTAATGTGTTTAATTTAAACAGTTTTCCCCTTGGTCTGATAGTATGAAGAGATGTTGGTACCTTATACCATTTGGATGTATGTTCAGACTTTAAAAAAAATACTGACTTCTGCTCCAAGCCATTAGATGTTTACATAATACCATTGCTTAAATTCATTGCATTCTAAGAAGAATGCTTTTCATAGACTTGAAAAACTAGAGCAGAGTGAAGGCAGGTTTCTAGAATGACAGGGGTATTTCCCACTGTGTTTGAGATCATTAATTTTCATGGTAGGGCAGGCCACCATCATCCTCATCCTTTAATTTGCTTTAAGTCCTTAATTTTAGTTTTTATCATCAGGCAAGTTTGAGGCATACACTGCATATTTTAAATGAATTTGCAGGGATAAAGTCTAAGGGTTAAAAAAACATAGAGTTAAATTAGCCAAGAGTTATAGGAACTACAAATTTAATAAATTGGTCTATTTCATTCTTGATTTAGATTGGTTTTCAGTTTGTCAGAATTCACCATGCTATCCTTTACTGTTTCACTTACCTCTTTTCCTTTTCCAGAGATTCTACGAAATATTGAAACCCACATTGCTCCATGTTGGAGAAGTAATTGTTTTCATAGTCCTCTTGAGGCCTCTTGATATACTTGAAAGAAACAAGAAGCATAGACTCAATAAAAGATTATATTTGAGGGATTAGTAGCATGGAAGAGAAGAGGAGTCACTATCTCTGGTGGCTGTCTGTTTAGACACTTCTCAAAGCTGTAGACCAAGATTTCACCATCCAGTTTTGTCATTGGTGTAATGTTGCTACTTTTGCAGCTTGTCACCATCATGTAGTCACATCTTTCCCTATGCTCTAACCTATAATGTAATCAGACAGTGATAACTGGACAATGATCACTGGAAAAGTAGTTATTAGGCCTCATCAAGTTCTGTACTCAATTGCAGATACCAACTATTAATTAGAAAATCTGTGCTTATACAATTAGAATTTCTAAAAGAAATTGCCAGATGAGAAGTTACACAAATATTTGAATGAATTTAACATACTTTGCAACAGTTCCTCACCCCTTCCCACTTCCCCAGCAACCATTTGGTTTGGATCTCATCCCAGCACTATGACTACTAATTCTAGCCTTAAGTTAGGCTGAGAGAATGTGTTGTTTCATGGCAGTGCTTACAAAGCCTGCTGGATCCAGAGTGTTTACTTGGATATTAGGGAGGAGGAAAAAAGTACACTAAAGATTGCAGTTGTATATGGAATTTTTGGTCATTCTTATGTTTAGGCTGCTTGAGGTTTTACCAGATAATTGAGAGGTAGAAAGAAATTTAAACTCCGCAGCTTGGAATGTTTTGCCTTTTTTTTCTTTAAGATTTTATTTCTTTATTTGAGAGAGTGAGTGTCAGGGGGAGAGAGCGTGAGCAGGGGAGAAGGGCAGAGGGAGAAGAAGCAGAATCCCTGCTGAGCTGGGAGCCTGAGGTAGGACTTCATCTCAGAACCCTGGGATCAGGACCTGAGCCGAAGACAGACACTTAATGGACTGAGCCACCCAGAATCCCAGCAGCATTTAACTTTTTGACATGGCAACTTTGTATCAGGTTATTTCAGATATTTTAGATGAGTGGGAAAGACAGGAGGAGGTGGGCAGGCTAACTCACTGAAATAGCAAATTGGCCTACTGCCAAACGACAGTATTTTTTTTCAAATGGGACCTTTCTTTTCAAAATCTATTAAAATATTCTTAAGTCACATATGACATAATATATGTCACACTTAACATATATTACCACCTGAATTTTCTATCCCCTAGTTACAATGACTTGTGTTAAGATTTTACTATTTTAGATTATTTTGCAAACCCACAGGAAGCAGAACTTAACATTTCCATGGTAAATTAATTCACAGGGTATCTGTAATCAATGAACAACTCTTCTAAGTAACTCTGTACCAAGGATTGTTGTTCAGCCAAGCTGAAGGAGTGAATATATTAAGTGAGTTGGGAATGTAAAGTTATAAAAGAAATAGGAATCAGAATCATGCAGTAGTTCATATTCATGGGCATTAAGCTGAAAAGAATCTTGGATTTTATTGTGGTATGTGAAAAGCGTTGGCAGAGATTTTAAAAGTCCTTGAGAGCCAAGAGGCATGTGTTTTGCAATAACCAGTTAATGAAATAAACAAGAACAGTAATCGAAGGACTCAATGTTTCCTTTTTTATAATGACGAAACCCTGATGAACTTTCAATAATATAAGAATTTGTATTTCTTTCACTGTCCTGTTTGAGTTTATTGGGTCAAATTTAATCATATACTTTATATGCTTTAAAAACTTGATGTCTGTTCTTATAAAGTTTATTGTTTCAGGTAGATTATAATGTTAAGACATTGTAAGTTATAGGTAATTAGACATTCATTCTATAACTTTTTATTTTGAACTTTCAGGAAAAAATGCTTTTTATTATGTATGTGTATGTATGTTTGCTTGTAGGTAGGTATATAGGCTCCACACCCAGCATAGAGCCCAACAGAGGGTTGAACTCACAACCCTGAGATTAAGACTTGTGCTGATAACAAGTCCAGATGCTTAACCCACTGAGCCATCCAGGAGCCCCTAGGGAAAATGCTTTTTAAATGTTGGTTTCCTTGGCTATTTCCAGCAAATAGTTGAATCTTTGCAAAGTATGATGTCCTAAAAGTTTTATTTTTGGATGTATATTTTCTAGAAAAGCTATGTTTAGATCTACCTCATACTTTCATAAATGAAATAGGTTGGGTAAGCTATTAATACATGACATTACTCGTTTTAGAGTTATTTCTCCATTGCTAACCTGAAATTGGACAATCCTGATGTTTGGTTAGGAATGCTAATCATGGGGATCCCTGGGTGGCGCAGCGGTTTGGCGCCTGCCTTTGGCCCAGGGCGCGATCCTGGAGACCCGGGATCGAATCCCACGTCAGGCTCCCGGTGCATGGAGCCTGCTTCTCCCTCCACCTGTCTCTGCCTCTCTCTCTCTCTGTATGACTATCGTGTAAAAAAAAAAAAAAAAAAGGAATGCTAATCATGGATAGGGGAAAAATCCTGAGATGAAAGAGTAGAAAATAAGTTTCAATCTATAGTTTTATAACTTTAAAGCTATCAGGAGTCTTAGAGGTCATTTAGTAGTGATTTCCAAGTCTGATTTTGCATCAGAATTAAAAGTGTGATGATGGGAAAAGTGGATTGCTAATAATGCATATTTCTAGACTTTGCCCTAAGCTAAATAAATCAGATCCTCTGGGAATGGGTTTTATAGTTTTCAGAAGCCCCCAGGGGATTGTGATTTGCCATTTCATGGACATTTGGGAATCTCTGATTTAGATTTCTCTTTAACAGATGAGGAAATGAATTTATTATTATTTTTTAAAGATTTTGTTTATTTGAGAGATAACAAGCAAGAGAGAGCATTAGGGGGAAGGGCAGAGGGAGAGGGAGAAGCAGACACCCTGCTGAGCAGGGAGCCCAAGGTGGGGCTCCTCCATCCCTGGACCCTGACCTGAGCCAAAGGCAGACACTTAACTGACTGAGCCACCCAGGCGCCCTGAAGAAATGGATTTAGAATGGAAATGAAGACCTGGCAGTCATACAGTGGGTCAGAATCAAAATCCTTGATTCTGTGTGTTGTTGGGGCAGGGGTGGTGGTGGTGGTGCATGCACGGGCATGGCTGTTTACTTATACAATACTGCCTTTCCAAATGAAAAGGCTTGCTTTTTTGCAGAATTTTCCTGCTATCCTATTGGCCATCTGAAAAGTACTTCAAGTCTATCTGCCTGGCAGGTCAAACATCTTAGCCTTAGGGATACACCCAGAACTATTGCAAATGGACCACTGACTTGAATTTAGCATCCTGGCCTGAAGTATTTGATTAAGTAAGTGATGCTGAGTGGTGTTGGCATAAAAACTGTCCGTGGTATGAAATGAGGAATAGCTGTAAGTGATCAAAAGTCTGTGAAGGCCCTTCAGGCTCTGACATTTATCAGCTGCTGCTACACTTTAACACTGTTCTCTAATCAAAGGTGACTACCACTAGATGGAAGAGGCTTACAGAACCTTTGGCTGCTCTCAGGGGAAGAATTTATTTTAATTGCCAGTGAGAAGGTAGGAATGATTTCAGTAAAGATCAAGAACCTCCAAATCCACTTCAGCTTGGGCTCCTGGCCAAGTGTCCATCCTCTGGAGGGAGTTGGTGTCAGCTGCTGTCTTATGACTTAAAAAAGCCAAAGGCATTACAGAAGCCTTTCCTGAGTTGGCAGGCAGCAAGGGCACCAGGAATCAAGGCCTGACACATGTCATCAGCCTGGAAAAAGTGGAGTTTGGACACTAATGATGGCTCTTGTCAAGGCTTAGTGTGATAAAGCCAGGAGGACTCAGCTTGGGGGTTTGTTTGCATAGAAGAGAAGTTACAGCTTCTCACCTGCCAAGAGTTTTCACTGCCCCAGCTGTATGTCAGTGACAAATCCTTCACCCTTGACTCCTGTCACTTCTTTTTAATTGTTGATGGTAGAGATGCTGGATGGGTAAGGAAGAGAAGGAGTCTGGTTATATCTAGCACATTTCCTTATTTGCTTGTCTTCTTGCCATTCTCTATGTAGAACTAAATTTATGTGGCCATACTCCAGGCTAGTTTTTTTTTTTTTCTTTGTATATCTGACGGTGTACTGGGCCAGAGTCTCAGGTCCTTTATTTCTATAAATGCCATTGCTGATGACCACACAAATGTTTTGATTGGCAGTTATGAGAAAGCTTTTTTGCTGATATAGCTCTTTGTTAGAAGTGTTAATTTTCAAATCCCAGCCTTGCCATGTAATAGCTGTGTGATTTTTGGCAAGTAGTTTAACCTCTGTTTCTCATCTGCAAAATGGAGGTAATTAATTGTACTTATACCACTGGGTTGTTGTGGGAACTAATTGAAAGCAGGAGTATAAAAATACATGACACGTAACATTCAAATTTCAGTTATTATTATAATTATTTGGTTGAACTTCCTGCCTACTGGGAAGAATGCAATAAGAGTTCTCTAACCCATTGTCTTAGTGACTAAAGGAATCCTGATGCAGAGTAAAGGTAAAATTAAAATCAGGAGAATCCAGGGCAGCCTGGATGGCTCAGCGGTTTAGCGCCACCTTCGGCCTAGGGTGTGATCCTGGAGACCCAGGATCGAGTCCCACGTCAGGCTCCCTGCATGGAGCCTGCTTCTCCCTCTGCCTGTGTTTCTGCCTCTCTCTGTCTCTGTGTCTCTCATGAATAAATAAATAAATCAGGAGATCCAGATTCAAGTCTTGACTGCTATATATTACTTTAATTTCCATACTTTATCATAACAAATTTATACCAACTAAAATAATCGGGCAGCCCCGGTGGCACAGCGGTTTGGCACCGCCTGCAGCCTGGGGTGTGATTCTGGAGACCCGGGATCGAGTCCCACATCGGGCTCACTGCATAGAGCCTGCTTCTCCCTCTGTGTCTCTGCCCCTCTCTCTCTGATTAAATAAATAAAATATTTAAAAATAAATAAAACAATCAAGATCTCTGAGATCTGTGTCACACACAAAAAACTGACATTCATAAAAATTATTGTGGTTCCCAAGAGCTTTTGCTTATAAGGGTTATACCTATCACCTTTCACTGTATTAGAAATTAAGTTGAGGGACGCCTGGGTAGCTCAGCAGTTGAGCATCTGCCTTTGATTCAGGGCGTGATCCTGGAGTCCCGGGATCGAGTCCCACATCGGGCTCCCTGCATGGAACCTGTCTCTCCCTCTGCCTATGTCTATGCCTCTCTGTGTGTGTGTGTCATGAATAGATAAATAAAAATCTTAAAAATTAAGTTGAGAAATTTAAAAATATTTATTAATTCATTTAAAGTAAAAATAATAAACTATTATATAGCAACATTAATAACATCTTAAAATAAAAATAACTAAAAATATCTATAGCTTCCTAAAAAAAAGCCACTTTACTGAGAAACGTGACATTATTTTTGTGTCTTTAATATCTAGTTTTGCAAAGGACAACTGAATTTTCATATCTGCATATATCTGTATCTGCATTCTATCTGTTTCAATATATTGTTTTGGCTCAAATATATGAAGAAAATCTGGCCTCTATACATATATATGGGAAAAGGAGAATTTTTATAGTTTGGATAATTGTGTATTTTCTTCTTGATGTTACATCAGATCTCAATAGTTGGTAGTTTCTTAAAGGTTAGTTGCAGTGCGGAATGTGAAACCACATCAATGAGCTTTCTTTTTTTTTTTTTTTAATTTTTATTTATTTATGATAGTCATCACAGAGAGAGAGAGAGAGAGGTAGAGACACAGGCAGAGGGAGAAGCAGGCTCCATGCACCGGGAGCCCGACGTGGGATTTGATCCCGGGTCTCCAGGATCGCGCCCTGGGCCAAAGGCAGGCGCTAAACTGCTGCGCCACCCAGGGATCCCTCAATGAGCTTTCATACTCTATTCCATTAAAATGTCCTAATCCAAAAAATAAATAAATAAATAAATAAATAAATAAATAAATAAATAAATAAATAAATAAATAATAAAAAATAAAATCCCCTAATCTGTCTTATACTTTGCTTAAGTCTTTTACCCATGAATGATTTTGTAACCTCATGCTTTGGTCATTTGGAAAATACGGGTTTAACAAGTTACCTAGATTTTCTAAATATGGACGGACACATTTCATCATATAAAATCCAGTAAATCAATTTTCTTAATATTACCACTAATCTCGGAAATACCTTCTGGGTATCTCTGAGGCTCACAGTGGCAAATACAAATTTTCCAAAATTTTAATTTTTGTTTAAAGGCTTAAATTTTATCCCTGGCAACAAATACTGCCAGTTGTTTTTCTCAAAATGACATGCTTGCTTTGTTCATTTTCAAGATAATAATTGTCAAACATCCAAGTCTGAATGACCATAATTTTCTGTTGCTTTTTTCAAGTAAAATGGTGGCCCATGAAAAAATTTGCTAGTTGATGTCACAACTCAAATAGTAACTTCAAGTGCATTTCCTCCAGAGTATGGAGTACCTTAAGTGTATTTTCCATTTTGTCACACAAAATATTAAAAAGTTGCAGAGTCAAGCATTGAGATTTAAAATCAGTAAATTTTATTGCTTCATCAAGGACATTCTTAAGTTAAAATGGCTTTTTTTTTGGTAGTGTGTGGTGGTGGTGAATACAATAATGACTGTCAATACATTTTGATTAGTGCTAAAGCCAGCGGTTTAACCCAACGTTCGCTTTGCACCATCATTGTAAATGTCAACGTAGTGAAAACGGCAAATTATGTCCTTTTATAATTAGTACAAAAATAGTTTTGACCTTGCAGTCTCTCTAAAGGGTTTTGAAGACATCTGTAGATGACACTCTGAGAATCACGGCTATGGAGTCCAATTAAGAAATTCTAGATGGAGGGACGCATGGGTGGCTCAGCAGTTGAGCGTCTGCCTTTGGCTCAGGGCGTGATCTCGGAGTTCTGCGATTAAGTCCCACATCGGGCTTCTGGCATGGAGCCTGCTTCTCCCTCTGCCTGTGTCTCTGTCTCTCTCTCTCTCTCTCTCTCTCTCTCTCTCATGAATAAATTAAAATATTAAAAAAAAAAACTCTAGATGGAGCGCCTGGGTGACTCGGTCAGTTAAGTGACTGACTGGATTTTGGCTCAGGTCATGATCTCAGGGTTGTGAGATCAAGCCCTAAGTTGGGCTCTGTGTTGGGCATGGAGCCTGCTTAAGATTCTCTCTCCCTCTACCCCTTTCTCCACCCTCCCCACCCCCCAAGGTGTCTGTCTTCCATCTCCCTTCTCTAAAAACCCAAAAACAAAAACTCTAGGCAAATGGTTGAAATTTCCCTAATCCCTTCAGGATTAAGACTGGTGGGCTATAGGAAAGATGTTCCCTGGGATCTTGTTTTGGTTTAGCATAGTATTAAGAGGCTGTTTGCATATACTGGAAGCTCAGTGAAAGTTGCTCAGTCAATGCAGATTGCCTAAATACTGCGTTTAGGAACTTTTTTCTTCTATACCTTATGAATTCAGTTTTTTATGTTCTCATTGTAAATACCATGCATTTTCCGAGTCTTACTGATTCCTCTGTTAAGGATTCTACAATATTATTGCTATGTATGTTTTATTCTCCTTGTGGGGGGATAAGAAGTAAATCACATGGCATTTGTTCTTTTTTATGATCTTTGGAAAATAAAAGCAGTTAAGCTTTAAAATAAAATAAAATAAAAGTTAAAATAAATAAAAGCATACCACAGTGTGTAGACACAGGCACTATTAGTCTGACATAGGATTAAGCTTTTATTTTTTGTTTTTATTTTTTTAAGATTTTATTTATTCATAGAGACGCAGAAAGAGAATGAGAGGCAGAGACACAGGCAGAGGGAGAAGCAGGCTCCATGCAGGGAGCCCGACGTGGGACTCAATCCAGGGTCTCCAGAATCACGCCCTGGGCTGCAGGCGGCGCTAAACCGCTGTGCCACCGGGGCTGCCTGGATTAAGCTTTTAGTAAGCGTTTGTAATAACTACCTTCTCTTGAGCATCCTTTCAGTGTAGGCACTGTGACTCTATATGTAAACACACATATTTATATATAAATCTATGTATATTTGGGCAGCTCTGGTGGCGCAGCAGTTTGGCGCTGCCTGCAGCCCGGGGTTTGATCCTGGGGACCCTGGATCGAGTCCCACGTCAGGCTCCCTGCATAGAGCCTGCTTCTCCCTCTGCCTGTGCCTCTGCCCCTCTCTCTCTCTGTGTGTCTCTATGAATAAATAAATAAAATCTTTAAATAAAATAAATCTATGTATATTTAATATATGTATAAATCATGTGAGTATATATTATATATACTTAAGTGTATATATTTATATGTAAGTAGATTAAAATATTTATTTGTATATAGATATGTATATATATAGATAGTATATATATGTTTTACATAAATACATAAATCATCCACATTTAATTTTCTCAGAAGTCTGCCAGGTATTTGGTATAATCCTCACTTTCTGTATGACGAATGAGACTCTAATAGGAGATATGATTTGCTCAGAGGAGTGAAAACAACATGGGCTAGATTGAGTAGAATTAATTATTTTCCCAATGCCAGATTCTTTGTAATGCCTTCCCAGATTTCTCCCCTACATTTATTCCTTCCTCCTTGGTTCTATAGCATGTCTCATGATGTACCTTATTTTAGAATTGTGTGCAAAGCTTTTCTACTTTAATATAAACTCTGAAAATAGCCATTTTGTTTAGATATACAATATACCAGGCACTTGATAAGTGTTTATATTAAACTAAGTGCATATCCCTTGCTTATTTCATTGTATACCTGAAGAGTATATAAATGATATAATTTAAGTATACTGATTTTTATTTTTTTAAGTATACTGATTTTTAAATCCATGCAGGATTTCCTTTTGAGATGTGAATAACCCTGTAATCTATCTATTCTAAAAGTTTCATTGTGTATCTATTTTGAGGGTGTGTGTGTCA